TATTTTAATTTAACCTGAACAGCTTATTTGGTAGTCCAACACGTTATCTTGGTAGCTTGGATAGCGGAGTACCGGCTATCAGATAATATATTTATCTAGTGTTTGGAACGTATTTAATATTTATTTATCTGCTACTAAGTAGCTCAATATTTTAATAGTGCAATTGCCATTTAGTTTTGCTTGTTTGGCTTGGTATTTATTGAGACCAGCTACTAGTGGTGTAGTCACTCTACCTATAGTGTACTTGTATATTATTATGTGGTACGATTATTGAGTGAACTGTTTGATTCCTAGCTTGGGCATTAGAGTTGTGTATTGGATTATAGTGGCCTAGTAGACCCCGCCTGGTGATAACACGCGTTGTGGTTTTTATTGGCAAGTAACTCACTGTGTTTTAGGCACTCTGGGCTTAACTATTGGATAGTTAGGACGAAGCCCGAGTTGCGTAGTCAGCAACGACCCCCTAGGAGAGTGGAGAATCGGCGTAGGCCTGGTAGTGATTATTGCACGTATGTTTTGGTGACTTGTTTTTGACTTGTTCACAGTGCCCGTGTATGAGCCAGTCCTATACCGGTTAGACCCGGCTTTTGGCCTAGTGGTTTCCCTGACCTTATCGCAGACCCTGGAACTTTACCCAGCCATTGTAGGCTGAGCTATCCCTGGCAAACGGTTGCGACTGCACGCACTGTTAATATTATTTTTTCCAGTGCAGAAAAGTTCGTCGCAAGGTATATTATATTTGGTTTCCAAACAGCTAGGGATAATAGTGCACGAAAAAGAACTGATGAATTTGATCACTGTAAATTAAAAAATCTCAAAGTATTTCTAAACTCTGAATATTATCCTTATAGTGATTTAAATCTCGACTTTGAAAATGGAGATGTCTCTAAAGCTTATGAGATGTTTATGAGGTTTAGAGAGACTTACTACAATACTATCCCAGATCCTATGATTAGTAGGGCTGAGTTTATGAAGAAATATCCACTAATTGTAATAGACTGTTCTAGACAGAACGAAACAGTGAAGGAAGGAATTGTTGATATTAAATTAGAGATTGAAACTGCAGAAAATGTGCCAGCAAATACATCTGCATATTGTTTGATAATACATGATAAAGTGTTTGAGTACAATCCTTTGTCAAATGAGATAAATAAAATGTAAATAAAAGATGAAAAACATTCAACAAGAATTGGTTGACTCTGCAAATCAAATACGAGAGAAATATAGAGCTTTAAAACGTGGCAAGTTTCTAGAGGCTGAAGAGAGGTTCCAGACATTCCAACCTTTACTAGAGCCATTACAAGAATTAAAGAAAATCACATCAGAGAGGCCTCGAATGGAGATACTCCCAATGACTCCATCTAGAATATCAATGATACCAAGATTACAACCATTACAACCATTACAACCATCCACTCCACAGAAATTAGATTTTGGTCTTTTAGCATCAGACTATTTAGGAAATTACCTCAGTAAAAGTAGTATGACAGACACTACATATGGTATTAGACGAGAAGCAAATAAATTTTTTATTGGAAATAAGGAAGTTGATATTGCCAATGATGATGTTACAGTTGCAAATAAAACCTACAAGGGGACAAAAGGTTTATGGGAATTGTTAACGTTAAAAGAACCTGAGAACTATACTCAGGCTGATTTGCAAAATTATAAAGAGATTTTGGAAGCTACAAATGGGCATTTAAAGAGTTACAAAGATGGTGCACCAATTTCAAGTAATAGACATACTAAATATCTTAATATAATTAAACCTCTATTTAAATATGTTGGTGAAGGTTTGAGACAAGTGACTGGTAATAAAATAGACTATATTTATTGGGATGATCCTAATGAGCTTGTAGATAGGTTAAGACTTCTTTGGCTAAGTCGCCAAGCCGGTAACTCAGGAGTGGATAATGAAATAGATTCCATTATTGAGGAATTGAGAGAAAGTGGAATTATTTATTAAATAAAAATATGTTTATAGATAAATTTTATCGTTTATATAATCCATATAATAAGCCTGCAGAACCCAGGGCTAGTAGTGAACCTACTTTAAATTTACAAGATGATAGTTGGAATTGTTTAAATGTTTAATTGTTTAAATTGTTAAATTGTTTAATTGGTAATGTTAAAGATGGGGAGTTTGTAGATGATGTATCAACTTTGGGACAGACATTAACTAGAAAAGGTGATGTCTTTTTACAAGGTAAAACTAAATATGAGTTTTTAGAATCTAAGAATAAAAATTGGAATGCTAAAAAACAGAAAATTACTAATGTGAAAAAGGGTGAAAGTTTAGATGATGTGCCCACTTTACAACAGACTTTAATACGAACAGATGGTGGTACATTTGTACAAGACAATAAAAATTATGAATTTTTAGAATCAGAGAATGGTGTTTGGAATGCTAAGAAACGGAAAATTACTAATGTAGAAAAGGGTGAAAGTTTAGATGATGTGCCCACTTTACAACAGACTTTAATACGAAAAGAAGATGGTAAATTTATACAAGATGATAATAATTATGAATTTTTAGAATCAGAGAATGGTGTTTGGAATGCTAAGAAACAGAAACTTAGCAATTTGATGGAAGGTACAGATAGTAAAGATGCTGTGAATGTTTCACAAGTTCCAAAAATGGAAGCAGGCTATTGGAGTTTTTATAATAAAAGGTTAGTACGTGTTAAACCTGCCATTGATGAAACTGACTGTGTTATAAAAGAACAGACTATAACTTTTGATAAAAAAGAAAAATGTTGGGATGCCAAAAAAATATTTATAAGGAATCTACCAGAGGGGGAACATTCGGATGATATTTGTCTAATGTCACAATCTATGCATTACGATGGATCAAAATTTGTATATGGAGAAAAAAATTTTAATTTGATGGAATATAATCCTGATTTATTAGTTGCTGACCCCACATCTTTGAGTGGATTTAAGTATATAGATAATAGACCATATATACCAGAAAACTATGTATTTAAAAGAATGGAAGATAATCTATTGATTGGGGCTAATGGTGATGTATTTAGAGTTACAGGAAAGGATGATGTTATAAAAAATGAATGAAATTGCATACGAACTTCATAAGCCTGCAAGAAAGAATTTCATTAGAAGGTCTTTTAAAGTATTGGGTATAAACGAAACCATACAAATAGATTTAATTGATATGCAAAACTATGCTAGAGAGAATTCTGGCAATAAATATATTTTAACTTTAATAGATACATTTTCTAAAAAAGCTTATGCTGCTCCACTAAAGAATAAGACAGGGTTGGTGGTTACAGAAGCCATTAAAACCATTCTACCAAAGGGGGTTAAAAACATTCAATCCGACAATGGAAAAGAATTTTTTAATCAATATTTTAGCAAACTAATGAAAAAATTAAATATTAATCACTATCACACATTTTCTACAACTAAGGCTGCAATTGTGGAGAGGTTTCAGAGAACTTTAAAGAATTGGTTATATAGAGAATTTAGTGCTCAGGGGAGTTATAAATGGTTGGATTTACTTCCAAAGTTAATTCGAAAATATAATAATAAAGTGCATAGATCTATAGGTATGAAGCCTAACCAAGTGAATATTAAAAACAGTAAATATGTGCATGAGAGGTTGACTTCTAAAGTAGTGCAAGTTAAAAAGCCAAGATATAAGGTAGGTGATAGCGTGAGAATTTCCAAATATAAACATGTGTTTAGTAAAGGATATACCCCAAATTGGACAGGGGAACTATTTACAATAGTAGAAGTTAAGAATACAAAGCCTGTGACGTATATCTTGAAAGATGAAAATGGTAATATAATCAGAGGAGGCTTCTATACAGAGGAGTTGTTAAAGACCAAATATAAAGACATGTATTTAGTAGAAAAGGTAATTAGGAGAAAAGGTGATTAATTGTATGTCAAATGGCTTGGGTTCCCAAGTAGCCAGAATTCATGGATTTCCACTAAGGATGTCCAAGGGAGTGCGCCATGAGCCGAGTTCGCACATACATGATTTTGAAATAGAAATATAATATATCAACTGGAAAGGGGAATGGTAGATGTACTTGCAATTGTGCGTGGGGCAGAGGGGAATGGTGAGGGGGGAGGGGGTAGTTGGCCCAAAAACCTCGACCCCGCTCCTCAAATAAAACGGCAGCAACAATCTGATTATTGAAATTCAACACGGTGTTGCTCCTGCTCCATCAAATATATATTAAAACCAAAACAATCGAGTAAAATATCGTGTACACATGGTGGGGTGCTATGGTACAATTGGGGGTTGCACCTGATCCTGATCCAGTGAATAGCGTTTTTACACTACTATACTATGGGACAGTTGGAGGGGTGCACATGCTCCTGGTTCATTGAATAGTGTTATTACATAGAAATATATATATTTAAACCAAAACAGATACACAATAAACTGTACACATGGTAGGGTGCTATGGTACAATTGGGGGGTTGCTCATCCTGATCCTGCAGTGAATAGCGTTTTTACACTACTATACATATACACATGTATGAGTCAATAAATGAAATAATTAGCTTTTTTTAGCTTAATACCGAATATATATATAGAGAATAAGTAAAAAATAAGGTTTGACAATTATATAAGGATTTGCAGGCAATGATCAGGATTTTAGATTTGGTGGCCAAAAATAATCCCCATAAGAATAACATGGGAAAAACGTGTCTAAAGTAGGGTAAAACCGGTAGTTCTCCACTACTTATTGAGTTAGTTTTAAACCTATAGGCAGCTGATTGACATGATACAAGCACACAGTTGTTTGTTTGATGATAGCTTAGGCTGATTAGGTTACAGACCCTCCTTTTTCAGGTCATGAACTATTTGAAATTTAAAATATAATTAAAGTCCCACCTTGAGTAGTATATTTTGTACGCCTAAAAGGATTTGCTAGAGGCCGGCTCAGATATCCTGTTCAACCCTTCCGGTTGGATAGAGAATTTAGCTTGTGACAGACTTGTTTACTTCCTTGACCCCTACTCACCTGGCCTCTGTCCCTGCACCCTGTCCGCCCTGGACCTGTTGGTCGTCTCCTTGACCTCCATTGCCGGCGACCTCTGGGGCTTCTCCCCCTCCACACTCTCCTCGTTGCTGTTCCAGTAGATGGTGGATATTGTCGCTAGACACTTAAGCTTCAAGTCACCCTTCAAAAAGTGTCTCGACTCCACCTTGAACTCTAGCCCAAGTGACGTCACGTCCAGACCATCCTCGGCTGTGGCGAACTGTGGCCCTCTCAGGAATGAACGATCTGCCTGGAATCAGATTACATTTCATGATAGGTTGATGAGAAGTCTCAAAAATTATATAAAAATGTTTGTTTTTATTTATATTTCTAAATCTTAAAAAAAGAACCGAAAACCCCAACTTTATTGATTATAAAACTACTTTCGTATCAGGATTAGACCACTGGTACATCAACAATCAGCAACTCTTCAAATTGGCGATTATAACAAACTACTTTGTTTCTACTCAAGATAAAACAGAAAAATAATTTAATGTTGTTAAGGACACGATTACGCAATGCATTTCCACTTTTAAATTTTATATTCAGTAAATAACCACTCCTTTATCCTAATTGAAGGTTTTTGTTACTAAATTTGCATTAACTTTTTTTTTAATAGCTCAGGGGGAATGTCCCATACAACCTTTATATTAATTCGTCTACAGCGTTGAGTATGCATTTTACATTGTTTAAATGGTACCTGTTCTCCATTGATGAACCATATAAGATGCACTGGAGGTTTGGATCTCCCTGATGTACAATTTACTCTGACGGTATCACCCATCTGATACCTGGGTCTGCCCCCTCTGATCTTGGGACCTTCCTTGGGCAAAGCTGAAACACACGTATTTGTTAAAAATTACCCTTTTAAGTTATACGGTGAGGCTTTTGTTTGTTGGTTTTACCTGTAAGGACTGTCACTGTTTCTTATCTGCCAGGCCTGAAAAAAATTACCACGGGTTTCAAGCAAATTGTATCACTCAACGATAGTTCAAAAGTGTGTCTATTGTGTTAATAATTTCTTCTATCTAAGCTATGGTTCTAGCTAAGATAATGGTTCTCATACCAATTGTGGTCTATATGTACGTTTATGTTATTCAATTAACCGGTAACTCAGAGCTCTGGTGGTTTGCAACTATACAGATAACAGATTTACAGATAGATGCTACATCCTTTACAGATAAAATCATGGCCGTGATTTCAGAAAGCTCTCGTTTAGAGCTCTGAGGTAATTAAAAACCTTTGTGCTCAACAGCACTGTGGTAATATTATCTTATTATATATCTTAGTTAGTTAACGGTACATCAATGTACCTATCAAGTTTTCTGTCACAGCTCAGACTCATCATCGAAGTGAATAACTTGGCATTTGATTTTGATGAAGCCATAACTGTATAGTGTATAACTCTCCATTGCCTAAAATAATCATTCACCAAGACGCTGACGTGAAGTATGTGATTTTGGCTTGATAGATACTGTAATCCCAGCTATCCATATGAAGGTCGAGTAAGAGCGTAAATCTCTGTATGAACGTTTGGTGGCTTATCACAAAGGATAAGCCTAGGTTCATCTGAAGACCAAACCACAATATTACTAACATACCTACAACCAGCAGATCCCCGTGGTCTGACACCGTCTGGAAGGAAGGCGCCTCAGCAGACACTTCACATCTATATCTGCCTGTGGAGGTAAGCAGAAGAGATCGTAGCACCACCTGAGTGGCGTTGCTGGCAGGAATCTGTAAAGCGTATTAAAGAAAAAATAATTTTATCCAAGCTAAAACTTAAGGTTTAAATTTCTTGAACCCGAGTCATAGTATTGACCCAAACAAATCGTAACAAGTCTTTCCTACCTGATATTCCTGTTATTGGTTTAAACCACGAGTAAACCAACAATCCAAACCATCGGTATTACAAAGAGTTTAGAATGAGGCATTTAAAATATTTTATCTTAGTGACTTTACAATTATTAATATCTCAACCTAGATCTTTAGTCATAAATATTTCCTTACATGAAGGAGAGACGAATTGTTACATAAAGAATGAAAAGTACATTTTCGTTTAAAACAAAAGCATTTATTCGTCCTGTCACATTTAGAGTATTGACGTCATTGGAACTTTAATTTTACATATCATGACAGAAAATATCTGCAATAATCTGTTAAATAATCCAACAAATCATTAGAGTATGTGGATAACTAACTATTTGTACACCTAATTAAGGATCCATATGTCCAGACTAAAGCTTATCTTTTTAACTTTTTCATCTAATAGAAAATGATTAGCCAATCACAAGTAAGGCAACATTTTCCTAAATTATAGTGTTAGCTAAGTTTGTCTACACATCTTACATCAACATCGACTCCCTCCATGGGGAAGACCTGGACGGGATGTTTATCCCTCGGGAGGAAGCGGAAGAACTCCTGACCATCCTTGTACCACTTGACGGAGTAGAGAGTCTCTCCCTGGAGATCGTAGTGACACTCCAGGACAGAGAAGTTGCCCATCATGGCATGGTTCTCTATTCGGACTTGAGTGAGGGAAAGACTCCATACGACACCTGTCAAACATAAAGTTGTGTTAAAAAATATTGATTTACTAAATGGCAAAGTTTGGCAAAAAATAGTTTTTATGAATATTCAAACCCCTTGGGTATGAGTTAAAGCTGTTAATGAAACAAATTTTATCTTTAAACAAAATTATTTTATTTTAGATGTTTTGTACGACGCTGGTCGGCCAGACAATGTACTCTAAGGTATATATGAGTGTTAATTGAATTGATTAACATCATTCTTGGAATGCATTGATGGCTTTGTTAGTGACTGAAAAAAACTGTCTACCCAAATTCAAAATAAGCTAATGATGGAAACACAAAATAACACATCACAACAATCACATCATTGGGTTTCTTAGCGCTAAGCTTTTTCAACTACGTCGTAAACATTTCATCCTAATTTTTCTTTTTAATAATCCTTAAGTCTGTATATAAGGGTGTTTCAAATACAGGGACATTTCTACTTGTAATAGAAGATCTCTTGTTGTTTTCGTAGATAAATCGTCAAACCGTTTAAAATAATCTCCAGCCAACGTAAACGAAACATCATGTCGTGGTGTGTAAGCCTCAATCGATCGCTAATCGATCAATAGTAATTAGCAGGATTATAACCCGTAACCTCTGGGTCAGTAGTCTCGTGTTCTAACTGTTATACCATCAGCTTTGTCATTAGTAATCACTTGATAACCAATATCTAACGTACAAATTTAAAACTTTAATGTAAACGCTATTCATTTTGATGTGTGTATTTAAATACTCAAAGACAGTTTGATAAATCCAGTCAAATCAATGTAATGGAATTGGTGATTTGATTTTGGTGGATGTATTCATACAGCGTTTTATATGTATTTCATATGATGTTTGATAATATGGCATGAGTAAACTATTAATTTAACACTTTCATGATACGAACGCAGAAGTAACTAGTGTACTTTCCATTATTTATTGATTCGCGGCATACTCCTTATTTTACAGGGCTATTCAAAAATATGGACCCAGTTTCGGGATTTTGTATCTCGAAAAGTATAAATAGGAAAAGTTAAGTTTCACACCGTTAGAAAGAGAAAATTTCAAAGTTGTATTTACGCTGATTACAAAAATGCTTAATTTCCCCCTGTGCTGCATGGCAAACATCTAAGCAATAGCCAGAAATTTGCCTCATAAATATTTTATGTATCACTGATTTCACAGCTGCTAATTTATTAAAATTTCCTACAACACCGAGTAAAACTTTTTTTAGTCAGTTGTTCAATAACGAATTCGAGGTGAAAAGGCCGCTGCACTGTAATAGGAGACTCTTTTTTTGCAAACTCTATCAAACAGAAAATATTCTGCTGTATAGCCATCTTACCAACAACTGATGGTAAAATCAAAATTCCTGCCCATTGTTGCTATAACCTTTTCGGCCGGTTACGGCAATATGGTCAGAAAAACTTTAGAATTTCCTCTTTTGAATGGTGTAATGTTCATATCTGCTCAATTTATTCTTTATGAAGTTATGAAATTGGGTCCATATTTTTGAATGGGTCTGTATTTAACGATAGTTCGGTCAATCTATTCAGTTTTAAATTCATTTGTAATTTCTAAAAATTAGTCTTACCTTAAAAATATTCTAAATGTAAAGCATCCCCCAAAACAATTATCATTTCTTCATGGACATTCTGATGAAGGGGTGTTTTTGTTTATTAATTCATTCTTCAATCAAAATAACAACAATGATTATTTTCTTCGTAAAAAGCCCCAAAAGGAAATTATTTTTCCTTTTTAAAAACGATAATAACTATCGAGCGGATAATAAGTATAACTTTTTACCAACAAAAAATTAATGATTTTAAATTACATTTTGAAGACACCTTGACATAAATAATAATTTTCATGACCGTCCAAAATCGTTGTTAGTACAGCAAAGTTGGCATGTACTTAGTTAAATGTCTGCACATAATTGCTATTTTCTTCTCGATGAGTTACCAGATTATTTCATTACAGGTATTTAAGCTGGTTATTGAACCAACATTAATGAGTTACTTCACAGTTCAAAGCAAACTCTATTATAAGTAACGCAATTAGTGGCTCTTTGAAACAGTATTAACCGCCTGCTTTTGAATATTTAGTGAAAATTGGTTTGATGAACGCTCGTAGGAGATTTATTTCTTTGAGGCACGAAACAAACTGTTCCACTACGGTTATCATTTGAAATACAAGGATAAATTATGGCAAAAGATGTGAGTCTACTTAAAGATAAATGAACGATTATAAATTATGAGCAGGATATAATTTGCAGACTAATTAAAATAACTTAAGCATTTATTTGTAAAAACTAAATATTTATTGGTACATTATGCATTTTTATTAGACATTTTACGCGTTTATTTAATTTAAAAACAACATTTTAACAAATCATCAGTATTATTATTTCCATATACGATTAATGTTTACTGAAAAGGAAAAAGACCTTTGTAAAGATGCGTAAATAATTTATAAATAATTCATAATATTGCTTATCAAAAGGAGTATTTCCTTTTAAAATATCGGAATTTTCAACTACTTTATTTAAGAATATTTATACATTTATCAAGTATTTCCAAATTTCCTGTATTGTTTTTTCTAGCCCATCTAAAAAAAAAATGAAAGATATGTTTTGAGGATATTTATGTACAGAGATGTTCTAAAGTTCCAGATAGTATCCCAGATTCATCATATTGTTTACAGTGTCGTCCGTATCTCTTCAGAATTTGTGATTCATAATTTTTAAGAATTAACATGCCTTTTACGTTTGGAAAACGTGTTTTTCATTGATAAGTTGGAAAAAATTTAAATAAGGTTGAAGTTTAAATTTAAAAGTATATCGAAATCTCAATAGCATCAAAATGACATGTGCCTTGTGGCTTGACCATGAATGCTATTTCGGATTTTTGAGTTTTGGCTACTATTTTAAAAAGATAATTTATCATCGATCCGTATGAAAAGTAGCAATTTTTTATGACAGCTGATTTTAAAGAAAAAAATTATCTAAAGCTCTAATTTGGAGCAAGGAACATATCAGCTAACTTTCCCTTGCTGTAAATTTACTTTCCTTTGCTCTCAATCAGTTCTATATTTGACCAATATTCGTAATAGTGTTTATTTACCGTTTATTTTCATAAATTGAATCAGTCTTTTATTGTTTAACAATGTATATTAAAAAGGAAACAGGGTAAATTAATAAAAAAGGTATTTTTGCTCATTTTTAGCATGGAGTTTACTGCGAGATAAAATTAACCTTAAAATTCAACTTTAACTTTGGTATATTAGTTAATTATAATATATTTTGCTTTTTTTTATTTTATTTTTTTATTTAAAATTGCAACAAAAACTAGTTACATCTTCCAGCTTACATCTAACAAAAATTAGTACTACGATATAATGACTTATTCATTAATTTTGCAAAGGCTTCCTAAGTTTCTGATTATAAAAACCAACATTCTATAAGACTTCAACTCTAAGATTGTTCTCATGTAGTCTATATACTTGAACAAATAATATTGCAATTAGCGAAATTGATGTTCCTGATGAACTCTGAATCAACCGTTAATGGGTCAAGAGTATTTGAGTCAGTTCAGGCAGTTCAAAATATGTTGTACTACAAGTCATTACAAGTTTAAATTATTTCGTGTATATACACCAACAATATGCTCTACAGGAGAAATTTATGACTTGTTTAATATTGATTTACAAATTCGAAGATGTATCGACTGAACATAAAAGAACCTATGAATTAACTGATCTTTTAATTTATGTAACAGCGATCCAGGCTTTAAGACATGTGCTTAAAAGATTAAAAGGTTATATAATTCACAAACGAATACCACGATAAAATATACAATACACAGTTCTAGCAAAGGTTAAATTATGGTGTTCATTAGCTTAACTAATGAATTACTTTACTGTTCAAAGGGAATGTTATGACACTCGACGCAATTAGTGGGTATTTAACAAGCATTTGATGTTAGCTAATGAGAACTCAGTTGCAAGTAATTTGATGGTCAATATCAAAAGATTGTATGGTTTATGAAACCTATAAATTATTATTAGTAAATAATCTAGTTATTGCAATCTCTTCGTTTTCAAAAAGCTAAAGGAATCAATGTGGGGGATTGAATGTGTGTGCCAAGTTTAATTATCACAACAATATAACTGTGATCTGTGGTAACGCTGCAACCCCTAGGTCTAGCCTGAAAGAATGTAAAAAACACTTCCAGGATCGTGCCTAGTGGGAAAAATAAAGTAACTGTGAGCTAATTGGCACAGAAAACGCATTTACTTACTTAAGCAGACTAGCTGCTGTTTATATGTTAACTATAATAATAAATAAAACTTTTAAGCATGTTTTATAATGTGCACAATTAACTTACATTAGGATCTGGATTCTACAGAATTTACAAAGTAAATGTGAAATAAAACTTTTAGTTTACAAGACAAAATGAACACGCTTTATTAAAAGACAATACCTATTTTAAAAATCTTGTATTTTATAATATTGAAGAGTAAACAAATAAATTAGTCTTCACTTAAATTTTCATTTAAATGTGACAAAAAACTGATATATTACAAAAGAGAACATGCATCATCCAAAGAGAACTTAGAAAAATTATACTTTTAAAATTGAAGAGTAAAAAAAGATTAAGTTATCACTTATATTTTAAAACGTCAAGTCACCACTATAACAAAAACGTAAATACACCTATTACAATTTTCTTACATTCATGATTGAGCTTACTGAACATGGGTTTGGCAGAAAATCTTGTAATTTTTTGTAGGAATAAAAATATAATTAAAAAACTACGTGGGAGTTAAGTTATAAGAGTGACCCAATCACACGAATAAGTTTTTTTATTCTTTTTTAGGGAGAGGAGGGAAAATGCTTTTACGCACACAGGTGGCCAGCCTGTAGTGTGAGACTCCTGAATCTATCACAGACTACTCACTAAAAAGCCCCCTCTACGTATAAGTATGCATACGAATAAGTA